TATATATTGTTTGTTGTGTGTGTGTGTGTGTGTATATATAATATATATATATATATATATATATATATATATATACATATAATTAAGTTTAAACGTTTTGTGCTACAATAGGACCATCGGCGATGCACAGGAGGTGGAGGGCGAGTTTGACTTTGTAGGCAATCTCAACAAATTCAATAAGGCTGCGGTGTTTGCGGAAATAGAGGTGTGTCCAGTTGTAATTTGTATCATTTTTAAAATGTCGTTTATCCAGTACGTATAGGCTGCCAGGCGCCGAGACCTGGTATACAACTATTTGCGACGTGTTCTGATAACCTGTTTCTTTCAACAGTTGCGTCGTGACCTGAGATTGAAAGGATCTAAAACTAAACTTGATTACAGAAGATTGCTTTTTAGGAAATGTAGGTCATATGTGCATTTGCTTATTTATATCTCGCATATGTAGACTCATATGTTGGTACATGCTTGTACACACCCCCACACTTAGCAAGAGGTCTGCCTGGACAGCGACAACCTGCTGGTGTCGCACAATCGCAAGAAAAAGAACTACGAGCACTACGAGAATATTCTGGGCAACGAGGGTGTGGATATAGGGGTCTACTCCACTGGACTGCACTCGTATGTGGCTGTGATATGGTGCATCTGTATACGCATGTAGATGCGCGTCACAACGTAGATAAAAGTTAGATACTATGCTAATCTGCACACTTACATCATAGAAGTACGTGCATCTCGCACATATACATGTATACATATACATCTGTGTGTGTGTGTCTGGGTGTCTAAGTATATATATGTATTTATATATAAATGTATTTATATATATATATATATATATATTTATATATATATATATATATATATATATGTATGGATGTGTCTGTGTCTGTGTCAGTATCTGTGTCTGTGTCTGTGTCTTTCCGTGTATGTGTCTGTATCCCTCTGTGTGTATGTGTGTGTGTGTGTGTGTACGTGATTACAGCTATGTAAATTACTGGCTTGCCTTGGGTACTGAAATACCCCTTGGGTTGCTGTGAGTGCGTGCGTGAGTGAATCAGCCATGTGTGTGTAAATAGAACAAGTGTGCACAATATGGCAATGTATGTATATAAGAGGACACAAATAAATACGTACGCAGACACAAAAACACACACATATATATGAACACACACACACACATGTACGAGAAAATGTACGTAGCTAGTAGTTCAATATTAACCGGGTGCTGGGCAAAGATTACGTAAATATTTCCTGCCTCTGGTATGCACCACTCTTTATCTCCTGTATTTTTTTCCGGAGGCGGGCATTGCATACACTCTGTGTAGTACAACAATACGTAAATTGAATCCGTACATGTATTCACAACTCTCCGCACCCACCCTCGCAGATCAAATGCATTCAAATCCGAATATGGGGTTGTCATTCCGTACGCCACATGCTTTCAGATGACTGAGATTCACGATATTCTACAAACAATGGGCTTCACACGCGCACAGATCCTCGAGACCGCGGCCAGTAGCGTCACCTCCATGGTACTCAAACTCCTGGGTATGCTGATTCTGCGAATATTTATATTTATTTGTTTATAAATA